AACGCCACGTTAATTGCTACTCGTTAATTAACGCGATAGTCGCCGGACCACGGTTCCTCTCGTCGAGTCGTCAAGTCCGTTTCGAAACTTGGATTTTCTGGCTTCGGGGGTTTCTTTTTACTATTTTTTTTTTTTTTTTGCGTATCTTTCGATCAATCGACCGAAGCGGTCGCGTAAATCGACGGTTTATCGGTGCAATAACGGAACGACAGCGTGTCGGCAGTAATTTAAGCCGGAGTATCTAGTCCGATTTGATTTATCGAACGTACGTGGCCGGTAAAACGCACGCCGACGTGTTTTACGAGGTGAAACCCCGTTGACAGGCCTCGTCGAGCCCTGACGATAGGATTTTCCACTCCTTTCTGCCCAGCTTCTGGTCGACTTTCACAAAAACGTTATTTTTCACGAGCCTCCGAGACTTTTTTATCTGTTTCGCGTTCGATCGTCGGGGAAATCGGTCGAGCAAATAAACTCCGTTATAATGGAGTGAGAAATTTTTGAAAAATTTGAATGGAGTTATAGCTGGCGCCCCAGTTACTAGGTCGAGCAACAACAATCAGATCGTATTTAAAAATATTTCGTGTCGAAACAATCGTTCGAAATAACGTTTCGATCGTTTACGAAAAAAAAACCTGCATAGAACGAATTAACGGGCTTTGGAATTATCAAAGATGAAATTTATGGTACACATATTGCACGAGAAAGAGTTACGACGCGTGAGAAAACAAAGCTGGAAATTTAGTGTGGAAGGGAAGACTTATTCAGCTAATTTCTCTCCCCAAATCGTTGCAAGACGAAACAAGCGTGTTTTGACGATGTAATAATCGTGAAATATGAATTTTCTAAATAAATTTTCCACGGAATCGTAACATTGTTGCTTCGAGGTTGACGAGTAGTGACGCGTATGGGTTCTTGGTAACGATTGATCCCGCCAAAGCAGTCTTTATTAACGCCCTGGCCGCGTAAACTGTTTGAAAGTGCGTGTTTAGCGCGTTCAAGAATAGCGTGGACTCCCTGTTTCGCCCGGTTCAACGCCGCGGCGAGAAAGAAGACGATTAAACCCGGACCACCGGGGGGCCAATGACGTCAGTGTTTGCGATCGAGAGTTCTCTTTTTCCACACTCAGCCCAGTTAACGAGCTCGTTTTATTCGTGGAACGGTTCGATTACATTTTTCTGAAAGACTTTCGACAGCTCCTTTCATCAAAATCCACTCTGCTTTCCATTAACCCTCTTTACCGACCCGATACTTACCGACTGGTACTCGATTGATCACTGTTTTACCGACAAAAGTCACTTTTTTACCGACGAAATCACTGTTTTACCGACCGGAGGCCGATTAATCGCTACCTTATCGACGTAATCCGGTTTTTTACCGACCGGTGACCTATCAATCGGTAATTTGTCGGCACTGACAGGTCGGTAAAGTGTTTGAAAGTGCTAGTTTATCGTAGTATCTCGTTTCTAACGATTCCTATCGAGTTTTTAAGCTCCGACAAAGAAAAAATGGACAACTCGCGAAGGGGTGCGAAGTCTCTTATCGCGGCGTGCGGTTTTCGCGGGCGTCTTGGCACAACCGACGCCTCGAGGCGATCACGAAGTCAAGCAAACAAACGAAACGTTTGAGGATGGCGTTCCTTGTCTCCCTTGGCGCTCGTTATTTTTTCCTTCGGTGGCTGCCGTCCGTCCCAGGAGCGGGAGGGGTGGAGAAAGGAGACCTTAAAGGGAGGAAGCGTGCCAAGGAGTTCGCGCTAAGAATAGAGATACGTGGTGAAGAGGAAGGAAGGAGCATATTCCTCGGAGGAAATCCGAAACGCGTCCGACAATTAAGTTCCAGAACTTCGGACGCGTCAAGTTGCATACAAAAGACCTCACGGAAGCCTGATGGTTGTAATTTTCAGGGGAAATGGCGGGATGAGCGAGCTGTGGTCACCTTGGCGCCGATCGTGGCGCAATAAAAAGGCTTGTTTAAGCTCCCTGCCCGAAACCGGGATCGTTTGCGTCACCTATGTGGCTTAACGACCGGCACGACGTGATAATCGTAAAGCACTTAATCGCGAGGATAAATTTCTTGAGTGGCGTCGAATCTAAAAATTTCATCGACGCGACGAGAAGCTTCTGAGGGAAAAGTGTTCTCGTCGAAATAATAACCCGGCGAAGTTAACGCGATCCCGCTCGTTCGCGCGTTAAATTACTTTTTGCGTCGTTTGTTCGCGAGAAATGCACTTGCTCGCGGCGTAACAATGGCCAATCCGCGTTCAACTTTTCTCCCCTTTCGCGGATTATTGGATTCTGATTATCGTTCCACGATTTCGCGGGAACCGTTTACGGGGAAACTTTCGCCTATATTTTTAGAGTCCACGAAGTTCGTGGAGGGTACAGGAGGCTGCAGGATACCCGAATTATCATCGAACGAAAAAGGAAAGCAAAAGTCCCGTGTTTTTCGGGTGAAGCAAAGATTTATCCAGCGGAAGTCGGAGTTTGTTTCGCGACTAGAAGTTCACGATGAGAGCTGTTTACTTATGGAAGCTTCTCTCAAATATTTGTTTACCCTTAATCGGCTGAACTTGCCTCGCCGCGCGTGAAATCGATTCTCGAAGAGATCGAGAAGCAAACACCCCGGAGACTGCGTAGACCAAATCTCAATATTTCACGATCTATTTATTTGTATAATGGGGAGCACGTACATACGTCTTGTTTGCATTTCCTTTTCACCATCGTCGACGTCAATCGAGCTATCGTCGAACTGGAATATTTAAAATTTTTAAAAACGCGACTTATCGGTTTATCATTCCGAACAGCGTGTGTTCTGATAGCTGAGGCGGTTCTTATAAATATTGAAACACGGAAACGGAGATACGTTTGCATTCGCGATGACTAGAAATGACGCAGAGGCGACCCAATCGCCAGATTTCTCGTTCGATCGAGGGTTCCTCGAGGCTTTTTAAACAGGATCTGCATTGCAGATTTAACAGAAAAGGAAAACAAGATGTCGAGAAACTGACCTTCTTCCAATTTACGAACTTTTACGTCGATCTTTCGATGCACGAACTCTCAAAGAAACAACTACGGTCAGTTACAGGGCATGTTTTTAGCATTGTTTCGGGCACAATTCAATACTCTACGACGTGTCGAGCTAATCTTGAGTGACTAGTTTATCGTAGAGATACAATAATTAGTACTAGTATCACTTAACATTACTATTTTCCCATTTTTGTTACCGACTGACAGCCCATTCTTACCGACGTGATCACTTTTTTACCGACTGACAGCCCATTTTTACCGACGTGATCAGTTTTTTTACCGACTGACAGCCCAATCTTACCGACGTAATCCCTTCTTTACCGACTGACAGTCGATAAATCGATTACTTACCGACGTAATCGAGTTTTTTACCGACCGAGAGCCTATCAATCAGTAATTTATCGGCAATGATAGGTCGATAAAATGATCGAAGGCGCTATTTTATTTTCTCAATTGATTTTTAACCTGAAAATGACCAAAACTCTTGTACTATTGAAAGTCTAAAAGACTAAAATCGCGAATGGCCACGTGTGTACGACGAAATGGCGTCCGTTTGAGCCACGGGCGTCTTTTAACTCGCGAACGAACATGTATGGACAGTCGTTGGAAGCAACAATCGCTATGAATCAGATTCAGCGTGGCTGTCGGAAGATTCCCGACCGCGATCATGCTACTCCGGGCCACTTTATTCGGCCAGCTGCCTCCGTCTCTCCGTACACAGGATAGTGGTAATGAACCGAGGTCTGCAGCTGGCTGCACGCCAACCAAAACTCCTGCTAGCGTCTCCCGGACACTCTGACACGAGGTTCTCGACGTTAGGCGCCCGACAGAAGAAATTACGAATCGACTTTCGCCGCGATAGGCCACTTCTGCCTCTGAACTTGCGACGAGGAAGTTTCAAATTCTCCTGTCGCCTGTCATCCCTGTCGCGACGTTCCACATTTCTCTCGCGGGAAACAAAGGGAAACAAAGGATGTTCCTGGCGAAATATGGAACACGTTTGAAACGTACGCATCGGGCTCGAAATTTTGGAGTCCACGATGCTGGAAACGGGTAGGTAATTGTGCGATATTAATTTTAGAAAATGATATCTGTGTCAAGAAACGGAATAATCGAACGGAGACGCGTTCGAAGGCAGTAGGGAAAATGTATTCGCGATTTAATGGCGTGCTCGATTCAAATTGACCGATGAATCGCAAAACGGGGGATAATCGGTGTAATTCAACGATTAAAAGGAACCGACATCGATATCGTTACGCGTCGTTACAGTTAACGGAGACAACGGAGCCACTCTCCGCTTCTTTGATCCGCGCTAATAAAATGCCGGCGATTAAAAATAGCTACGTGACTCGTCGGGAATAATTTCGGTGTGCTTTGTTGACGTACGCTTTTATTCGAACGATACTGGAGGATCTCGGTATCCCAGTACAAGTAAATCGTAAACGATGAATGCAACCGTTCCACGAAAACCTTAGAAAATCGTTTCTAAATAGAGATTCTTCGGTTTCTGCGCAATGAAAGCGAACCCAACACTGAAAAGGCATCCAAGATGAATGTTCGAAGAACTGGGAGACTCTAAAAGACGATGTCTTGCTCGAGAAATTTGGATTTACAGGTAACTCAAAAGGAGGAGCTTCGTGCGTTCGCCGCTAGAGGGCTACGATCGACTTGTTCCTTTCTCACAAGTGCTCGATCTGAGAAGAGTTTTAGAGTTTTCTTGGTTTGGGTGAGGCTCAGGGACTCTTTTTCTTCTACAACAGCAAGTGAAAACGAATGTAATGGGCGAAATGGACTATTAAGGTCGAAGTTAATTATTTGTGATGATGCAAAGGTCTCTTTTGGAGATTCGGAGACTCTAAATCGTCGTTCTTGGAATCGATTGCTAGAAAATTGAAATAAAGCTTGATTATTTGGGATTAATAATGCAAAGATCTTTTTTTAGAGACTCGTAGAATAGGGTGGATGTTTTTGACTCACCCTCTGAGCCTTCCGCTTGTCAGCCCGCTGATTCTGGTGGTATATTCTGCTGAAATTACTGACGATAACAGGCACCGGTAAAGCGATCACTAGGACACCGCTAAGGGAGCATACGCCCCCCACGATTTTTCCCGCGATCGTTTTCGGAACCATGTCACCGTACCTGAAACAGACAAAATTCCAAAAACGTTAGCAAAATTCCACATACTGTTTTCCAAAAAGAGTAACTTTGACGACGAGAACAATTAAATGGCGATGCACGAAACAATTTCTAACGACGAGAATTACCATAAATATCGACGACGAATAAAACGAAGTGTTCCGCGCGAGAATGCAACGGGGAATCTTTAATTCAGCGATCGATGAGTCGCGTCTGAGAGTTTACGACGGTCATCCAAGACCGTGACGTTTCACTGAAAGCGAAAAGTCGATTCCGTACTTTACACGATAATACCACCGACTTGCAACGCTTCCACGGTCGAAGGAACAGTTTTCTGCGTTGGGCATCGACCATCCAGAGTTTACGGAAACGGTACCACGCGCGTAATATTCACGTTGACGGGACCAAAAAATAAAAACTGGCACACGGTGCTATTTTCATACTGCGGGAGACAGAAATCGAGAAACGGAGGGGACGTGTCGCGCCCTGCGATATTAAATTGTTTAGGAAGCAGTCGTAAAATGAAAATAAAAGTTCGCTGACCTGGCTGACGATTTATCATCGAAATTAAACGATTGCTCGAATGTTTAATGAGAGAAATTCGATGGAAATGGGTCTTACACTTAAGTTTTTGTTGCAGAATAAATTGTATGCAAAAGGACAGAGGGTAGAATGTGTTTTGAGAGCAGAACGTGTAATTTTGGGCAGCCACGGATATAACGAACAAGAACGCTTTCTCTTTCGCGTGGTTTCAAATGATTCGTGGGGCTATATGGGCCATTTTCCAAGGGGAGATACGATCGACCGTATGGCTCGCCTCAGGTGTCCGTGTTCCCAGAGAACAACTGCTCATTCATATTTCTTAAACAGGTGTGCATGACAAACCACGGTGTAGCATGAGCGTTACGTATTCACCGAGAAATAATCCTATAAACTTAGCGTTTGCTCTGGCGACTTAAGCATCGAGGGGATCAGTAATTTTTAAGTAACATTTGCCTGACACTGGGACTACTGTAAGTGGTCAAAATGATTTTTAATTTTTTAATTTTTTCGAAAAATTTTAGTTTCTCGAATTTTTTTGTCGAAAGTGGGCAGGATATTGAGGGTATATCTATTCACGAAAAATGATTGTAATTTACCCCTGCAACTAAAAATAATTTTTCCAAAATAATTTGAAACTTTTCAATTTCGCCAAAAAATTCGTCCACCTATTCGAATTTTTTTCTCGAAACTGGTTGGGAATTCGAGGATATGTCTATTCACTTAAAATGATTGTAATTGGTTCCCCTAGCTAAAAATAATTTTTTTAGAACAATTTGAAATTTTTTTTTTTTTGTGAAAAATTTAGGCACCTACCCCTGTCGATTTTGCTTGAAAATTAGTTTTTTATTTTTAATAATTTTGTTTGACGCTCTACAGAAAAGTTGTTTCTTACTTTTTCGTAGGTGCCTATGAGCTCTACTTCAGAGAAAAATTTCATTGAAATATATTCACTATTGTAGAAGTTATGGCTGTTTGAAAATTGGACCATTTTTATGGTCTCTCCCTCATTTTGCGATGTCAAGGATCAACTTTTTGATCATTTTTGGAATTTCTACATATTCTCCATCAAAATACGCGTTGTTTGCATTTTTAAATTTGAAAATCGTCCTATCCGTTCAGAAGTTATGACGTTTTAAAGATTCGCATGAAACTTCGAGCAGACATTTCTGATCAGAAATTATATTTACAGTGAGGAATTTTTTTCTCCAAACTAAGTAGGAATTCGGGGGTATGTCTATTCACCAAAAATGATTGTAATTGACCCCTGTAACTAAGAATAATGTTTTCAAAATGATTCCAAATGTCTTAATTTCGAAAAAATTTTTCACATTCTGGAATTTTTTTCTCGAAACTGGGTAGGATTTCGGGGGTATGTGTATTCACCAAAAATGATTGTAATTGACCCCCTTAGCTAAAAATAATTTTTTTTAAACGATTTGAAATATTTGGTTTTCGTCGAATTTAGGGATTTACCTGTCGAATTTCCTTAAGAATTCGTTTTTGATTTTTAATAATTTTATTTGACGTCATAGAGAAAAGTTGTCTAATACTTTTTTGTAGGTATACATGAGCTCTAATTCCTCCCAAAATTTCATTGAAATATATTCACTAGTGTAGGAGTTATGGTCGTTTGGAAATTGGATCATTTTTATGGGCTCTCCCTCATTTTGCGATGTCAAGGATCAACTTTTTGATAATTTTTGAAATTTCTACATATTCTCCACTAAAATTCGCATTATTTGCCTTGTTAAACATTAAAATCCTTCAATCCGTTCAGAAGTTATGACGTTTTGAAGATTCGCATGAAAATTCAGGCAGACATTTCTGGTTAGAAATTATATTTTCAGTGAGGAATTTTTTTCTCCAAACTGAGTAGGAATTCGGGAGTATGTCTATTCACCAAAACTGATTGTAATTGACCCCTGTAACTAAAAATAATTTTTTCAAAGTGATTAAAAATTTCTTCACATTCTCCAATTTTTTTCTCGAAACTGGTTAGGATTTCGAGGGTATGTCTATTCACCAAAAATAATTGTAATTGACCCCTGCAACTAAAAATAATTTTTCCAGAATGATTTAAAATTTTTTAATTTCGTCGAAAAAGTCTACCCATTACTACAGTTATTCGAATAGCAAATACACCATAACTGTTATTAATTCCAGTATTAAAAATTTATATAAATATTCCTAGTAATCCTCATAAACTCAAATAGCATCTAGTGAGTTAAACATCGAGTAAAATAGTAATTTTTACATAACATTTGCTTAAAAGTTCATTGAATTAAGTAATATTCCTAGTAATCCCCTTAATCTCGAAATAAATCATCGATCATTCCGTCGTTTTAAATGTTTTTGCGCGGCTGGTAGCTACTTTCTAAGCAGTCTCTCGAAACCGAGCCATAATATGGAACATCGCCAGAGGGCCAATCCTCGATCGTGGTCATTCACGAGCCCCCCCTGCCCGCTTTATCGAATTACGTTGCAGTTTCGGGGGTCCTTCCGGGACGCTTGTCGGTTCGTTCCCTCCCACGGGACCCGTCAACCAATTCGGAATACATCGTCGGAACACGTCGACCCGGATTTAGATTTTCCTGCCCGCGTCCATCGTTCCTACGCTCTTGTCCAACTAAATCCGCAAATCAATTTTTCAAGACACCAAAATTCTGATTTGAGACAATCGTGAACCTAAAATTTATCTCGTCACTCATCTTCGTGAGATTAAAATTCATTTCCCTTAAGATTTCAACTCGAAAATTCATTGTTTCGATTCTTAGAGTGAAAGGCCCCAATTCATACCCATAAGTCCCAAAGTGAAGACGTCTACTTTGAGATTGAAATTTGTTTCCCTTAAAATTTCAACTCGAGAGTCAATCATTTCGTTTCCAAGAGTGAAAGGCCCCAATTCATGCCCATAAGTCCCAAAGTGAACACGCCTCCAGTGAGATTAAAATTCATTTCCCTTAACATTTCGCCTCGAGAGTCCATAGTATCGATTCCAAGAGTGAAAGGCCCCACTCCATGTGCATAAGTCCCAAAAAGTGAACGCCCACCGTGGGCCCGCGACAAGATGGCCAGTGAAAGGACCGCGAGTCTGACTGGTTCCCCAGTATAGCGAGTGAAAGGAGCATGAGTCTGATTGGTCTCGAGCACGTTGGGCCCACTGGTCTCGCTATTGGCCGCGATGGGGCCCCCTTGCACTCCTACTTAGCGCCGCTATGGCGACACACACAACACGTTCTCGATTTTCATTTATGACAACACAAATTGAATATAGAAAATCAATGAAATTTTAATTATAGGTGGATATTTATTTGGAAAAATGAATATTTTTCTGGTTTTAGTTTCCCCTTTTTGGTGCAATTTACGTACCTGAGGAGTCTAGTTTCGAGATTAAGATTTCACTTTAGGAACACCGTGTTATTTAACCGTTCGAAAGCACGTCCTTGCGAGAGGAAGTTTATGGTTTCGAGTTTTAGAAATACGCTCCCCTCGTTCTCGATAGTCAAAGACGCGTCGTAAAAAGGGGGAACTTGCGAAGGGTAACTTTGACACATATTTGTAACGATAAAGACGTCGAAGGTCGCTACGTGGAGGCATGAGGCCTCGACGTGGGGTGCACGGATTAGGCTCGCTGATTTACTTTGCTAAACACTGGGTTCGGTTTGTCAATCAACTAGGGGCGGAAAAAATGTGAAAAACAAACACATTACTGGACTCTATGCACTTGGAATTGATGATAATTATGGTGTATGTATTTATACCAAAGAATTTAAATAGATAATTGAAGAAATACATAATGCAATGGGAATAAGTGTTCACTAATTCTCAGGTAGAAAACTACGGACAATTTTTAAACATCCACTAGGATTAAATGTTTTACAATTTTTATTAGAAACTACCAATGGATCAATTTGACCATTTTGGTAGTTCTGTTGTTAAAAATAACCTGGACAATTCATAGAAATCAGTAAAATTTCAAAATTGATTCTACTGAAGGTTTTGTAGCTGCTTATAAATAAATGAAAAATTACGTTTTAACACTGGAAACACTGACAATTATAATAGACTTATTTGTACCAACGAATTTGAATAGATAATTGAAGAAATTCATAATGCAATAGAGATAAATGTTCACTAATTCTCAGGTGAAAAACTACGGTCAATTTTTAAAAACCCACAGAGAGTAAATGTTTTAAAATTTTTATTAGAAATTACCACTCATCTCGAGTACTTTGATAGTACTAGTGTTAAACAAATATTATTTAAAAATTGCTATTTCACTCGATATTTAAATCATCGGAAACAGATTGTCACGAAACACAAAAGGGACAAAACACTCATTATTTCTGAAATAAAGTTATTTCCTGTAGATCGACGAACAATGGGTATTATTATCTAAGAAGCAATGCACCTATCGAAATGCATCTTCCATTGTTCGAAAAGCAGAACAATCGATCTTT